TGCATCTTGGGTGTTGACACTGGCTGCGGCCATTTCTCAGTTTCCTGCCCTTGCAGGGAAGGCCAGGCTGACAGTTCACATCGTTGGCGCTGAAGACATAGACGACTCGGCTGCTTTTTGCAGCCATCCACTCATGTCGGCACTGGGCTCGTTGCCACCGGAACTGAGCATTGTGCTCGTCGGTCCAGCGCTGTCATGGCAGAGTCCTCGTAGAGTCACAGCCACCAGTGGCAACAGCATTCTCCTGCAGTGTGTATGTTCGCTGTGGCACGAGGCCGAATGGGATGAGCTGCCTGATCTCGTAATTGGGTACAACACTGGCCTCACTGCTGAAGGAGATTTGGCTATGATGTACTGGTGGCACCCAACTCTTGCTCTTCTCATCCTCTTGAGCATCCCAACAGTGTTGACCGCCCGTTCCGAAGAAGACTTCACTGCGGCCTCAGCAGCGCTCGACGCAGATATTCTGCGTGCAGCAGTTGCGTTCGCAGGGACGGCTCCATTTCCGTCTCCCTACATTGTCCCAGTTGGCATCAACCGCACTCAGGCAAACTCAAGATGGTGTGGCTTCTGCGGAGGCGAGCCAATGACTCAAGAGGCCCTCAGGCAGCGTTTCATTCGGCTAGACCAGGATCACGAATCCGAGCACCGAGAGTGGCGGCTTGCCGATCGGAGTGCCAAGAAGATCGTTGACAAGATGCTCGCTGGTCGGTTGTGCTGCTGGTACGAGCGTTGTGGTGCTGCGACTTTGAACAAGCTTGTGCACAAGGCTGTGGACAACCTCCGTGAGCCTCCCCCGGTGTACATGGACGGCATTCGAGGGCTTCACATTCGAGCGGTTATTCATGGACTGGCCTCCATCCGTGGTCACTCGTTGAACGGACGACGTTGCATTCTGCTGGATTTTAACAAGGGGAAGCAGAGATACGTTTGCAAAGTGGAAGGGCGTGATGGGGACGAGCCACTGCTGATCGAGCCCTCGAACCTTCGCTGTTTGGATCCAACTGATGGTTTCGGGACTGAGCTGTACACGACGCGGGATTCCAAGATGCATGCGAAGGGCTCCCTCGACATCACCGTTCCACAGCTTCTCCTTGTCAAGGGTGAGACGTTCACATATGATGGCAAGTACGTCCTGCAGCGGGATGAGCATGAAGGGAAGCCAGTCTGGAAGCATGAAGGAATGCCACGGTACTTGAACTTTCATCCATTGGGATACTGGCTTTTGGGAACCCTGGGCGACGATCATCAACAGCACGCGGATCCTTCCAGGCATGCGGGATCGAAGTTGATCTCTGGTGGCTTCCCCGAGTCAACCTCGGGATGGGTGCGTGGATTTGACTTCCGTGCCCGCAGCTTTGCAGAAACACCAGATTTGATCCCTCCATCGCGATGGGAAGAGTGGGGGGGCCCTGAGTTCTTTGGCGATGACTTTGGTTGGTACCCGACGGAGCAGGTCTTCATTTCAGCGATCCAGATCGACCCTCCGAGGCCCCTGTTGCATGTTCAGATTGCGCCGCGCTGGTCTGACGATTCCGATGATGAGCACTGGTCAACTGGTGCGCTGAAACGTGCAGAATGCTTCTCGGGTGCCTACACTTTACAGGAGCGTCCTGGTGATGGCCACCCTATGTGGAGATGCAGTGGCGAATCGACTGCCGAGGCTCAGAAGGAGATTGCAAGATTGCGGGAATGCAAGAAGGAGCGTTTGCAAGAGATCAAGAATGAAAGCCCTCGCCAGGCAGCTATGTCCTCTCGGTTTTTCTGCAAGATGATGGATGACATGATGGTAAAAGTAGCTGAAAGCACCCGGTCGAGGGTATTGTGCTACGACCAGGTCAGACATGCTTGGCTCCTGAAGTGGGAGGATGCGAGCGACGAGTTTCTGTATGCCAAAGCAACTGCCGCAGCAGAGACACCTGAGCTTCTCTTCGGATGGCGCATGGTCTCGCCTGGCTACAGAGACAACTGCTACGGTTCGCGGTTGAACGTTTGCATTGCTCCTCCTGAGAAGCTTGAAGAAGAGGGTGCGGACGATTTCCGCAAGGAGGAGGTCCTCAGAGGTGCTCCACCTCTGTTGACTTTTTGGGATAAGTGCAGCGAAACTCGTTTCCGGATCCAGCCAGAGATACACGATGGCCACCCAGTTTGGAAAAGCATATCGACCAGTGGCTTCGAGGGTGAAGACGTGCCCTATGACTCAGAGTACATATATTACAACAAGGCTATCTACTGCTGGGTTATTGGAGGTGGAGAGGTTGGACACGATGCAGCGCATTACAGAGTGAAGAGTTGGGCTCCCTTCCCCCACTGCATTCCAGACTCGATCGAGGATCCTCGTGTCTACTGGGAAGAATTTTGGCCAGGCCAGTTGCATAGACTGGGAGGTCCTGACGAATGGCGTCCAAAACCTGGAACGCATGACGTTGGCTTTGAGGTGCCTGAACCTCCAGCCGAGCCCGACGCCGATGTTCCCGAGGATGTGCAAGATGTCAGCATCTACATCATCGAGTACTCCCGAAGCTCTCGAAAGTTTCGGGAGCGTTTGGCAGAAGGACCCGAGCTGGACCCCTGTCGCAGAGCTTTGCAAGAGGCTGGCTTCAACTTGGAGCTGCCATCCGGCGCCAAGTGCTTCGTCAAACCTGAGCACTACGAGGCAATCGTGCATGAGCTGGAAGTGAAGGGAAGAAACCTGAAGCCTCGCCATGTGATTGTGGAGGAGGAGTTCGAAGGGGCTCTTCATCAGGCCATCCAGAGGCTGCCCAGCAGCGAGCAAACGAGGCCAAAGGGACCCAGGGTCGACTTCGACGCTCACCTTCTGAACTTGAGTCTGTTGCCCAATCCTTCAAGCTCCGGGTCGGTTGGAATCGCATCCTCAGGAGAAGGCAGCGATGCGTCTATGAATGAGCCCGAAGACATTGTCGTTGAAGTCTGCCGAACTTTCGTTCATTTTTCTGGTGCAAATTCCTTTTACAGTGGACCCTCAAGTGGGCCAAAGATAGCATCGACAAGCGATGCCAACCCCAGAACACCGATGAATCCACGGTATCGATGACAAGCTGAATTGCTGACACACGCGAGTCGCCTCAAACATTCGCATCATAATGTCATAATCCGTACACCCTACTGTAAACCGATAGCCTTAGGTTCTTAGTTCTTAGGTTCAGACACAGACTTGTAGGAGCGACTGTGATTCGTAGCTGGCTTTCAGTGCATAGAGCGGCGAGCTGCTCCAGTTTGTCATTGAGGTTCGCAAGAGTGCTTGCCTCAATGTTATGTTTACTTGGTTGTGCCCAATCCACACAACTCTGCAAGGCCAAGGATATCTGGAGATATCTGGAGAGGGTTGTGCTCATGGGCTACCAATCCTTCTCGCTTACTTATGAGATGGTTTCTAGGAGAGTCGTTGCTAATCTGTCTGTGCAAGGGTTCAAGGGTTGTGTGACGCTGGTCACCATCAACGTTTCCAGAGACTCGCACGCAATCGGCTTGTCTCATGTTTTGACTGGCCGTCGGTGCCACTCGCATGACTGCCACGCGAGGCTCGCAAGAGTGCTTGCCTCTGCATCTCAAGCAGCCGCAGTGTCAAGAAGCTGTCATAGCAAGGTCCCGAAACTTTGGTTGGTGGAGTTCGTTGCACATCGTTTGTCAGCCGCAGTGTCGCAACACTCTGTTGCAAAGCAGAACAGCTTGTCTTGCTGCGGGGAGCTGCAAGCTCGCTGTAGGTGTGTGCTTTGAGGGTTCGCAAGAGTGCTTGCCCGCTGGCTCACGTCACAGTGACTTGCTGCGCAAGAGTTCTGTACAGTTCCAGATGTTCACGAGCCATTTGTACCTCAACAGCAAAATCCTGTCATGTGCACGCTGTTGCCGGAGCGATTGACATCCCCCACACTTATCCTGCAGCATGGCTGACTTCTTCACCTATACAAGAACTTCAGATCAACGAGTTGTGTGCTGTGACTGCCTTGACCCAGGTGGTGAACACCAGGAAGGTAGCAAGGCTGGGATTCGGAAGTACAGACGTGGAAGTTTAGAAGAGGAGTTTCGAGCGCAGAGTGCTGATGATACGTATAGTCAGTAGCGAGCTACTTCTTTGTTCCTACCCTATCAGACTGAACGTTGGAAATTCTGGTTGATGGCACTTCGATGCTTACGATTTTAGTGGCCACTCGTACTCCACCTCTCTGCTCGCAGATCAAGCGATAACATACAGCGTTCAACAACGTACAGTCCAAACCCTATACCCTGTTCTGAAACCATATACATTGGAAGTCTTGTCTAACATGTTTTCTTTACACGGTAGTTAACCCTTATTTTGGGTTAGGTTAACCATTAACTCTCGGGCTTGGTTAACCCTTATCTGGGCTTGGTTAACCGTTAACTCTCGGGCTTGGTTAACCCTTATCTGGGCTAGGTTAACTCTTAACTCTCGGGCTTGGTTAACCCTTATCTGGGCTAGGTTGACTGTTAAATTTTCGCGGTTAGCTGATCCTTATTTTTGGCCCAACCCCGCCTATCCCCAACCCTAACCCCCTGCATGCCTCATCGATCCGCGGGCCACCATCCTTGTAATCGATTTTTTGCTGCTGCTTCTGTTGCTGCTGCCGTGAGTTGAAGTTTCCCCCATGGGCCAGCATTGGGCCACTTTCGGGCCGCTGGCAGTAGTTGTACAAGGGTAAAGATTCGTGATTTCGGCAAGTTTAGCTGTACAAGCTCTCGCATAATGGCCGATAGCCTCGGAAGTCGGCGAGCCAGCTGAGCCTAAAGCCCTCGACGGTATATAAGCGGTAATATATACGGTTTCAGTATAAGTACAGTAGTATAAGTTACAAGTTATAAGGGGTCGCTATTTATAAAAAGATCGGGCTTCAGCTAAGCTTATACTCGCAAATGGTGGCATATCCCCTCAGATATTGTACAATCTGCCCACCGAGACTATGTGCAGCAGAATATGACAGGAGCAACCTGCTGAATATCAGCAGCATCTCAACATGCGAAGCTCACTTATTCCCCTTGAGTGCGGAAGCTTTCTTGGAAAGAGCTGATTCAGCAAATATGCCCTTCTTCTCGAGAATGGTCTGGCACCTGCTGACCAAGCCAAGTCGAGTTTCGCCCGGCTGTAGGTTCCGAGTCAAAGCTTGAGCCAAAGTGATGCTTCCGTTGATGTAGCGGACGGTCGCCATGGTAGCTGTCCCGGACTGCTTATCCTGAGCCATCGTGCCACCGACTGCATGAAAGACCTTGATGTCGCTCGAAGTAGCCCCAATCAGATTGATGGAAACCTCGCTAATCCACTCGTTCACGGTCAACAACTGCAAGTCATTCAGGAAAGCGGCGCTCTCGGAGAGAATGCGATCGGCTCGAGATCCTGAAAGAACCAGCTTTTGCACGTTCATATCAGAGGCTAAATTCTGAATGGCCTGTTTGTCCAAAGGATCTGATTTGAAGATCGCCTCCACATCTTTGGCCTGCAACAACTCTTTGTGGAAATCCCTGATACCGGAGATGAGGCTCCCCATGTCGGTAGCAATGTTTGCGATCATTTGACCACTCAAACCCGTCATGATCTTCTGAAGGATCTGATAGAAAGCACGAACACCATTCATCTCGCCGGTGATGGCCACAGCTGCAACCAACATCTCGTCGAAGTGCTTGGAGACCGGGGCGAACTTGCCGAAGATGGGTTGACAACCAAGCAACATAGATGCTTTGGTTTTCCAGGCGACAGGTGAATCCTTGGTAGCCACTAGGGTCTGGATGAGCATATCCTGATAGACTTTTGCCTCGTTAGACTCCTTCACTTTGTTGGCACAAACCATCACGAACTTCGCGATTCGCAACAAAGCACCGACCACACAAAGGAAGGCAGCATGCACTTCAATGTTTTCACCATCCACACAGAAGGCAACCCTGCTCACACCCATGTACTTGTAGTACCTGTTGAAGACGAAAAACCAATCGAGCTCTTGCTTGGCTTCCGCGGAGTCCTCGGCATTGATCTCGACGACTCCAAGAACTTCCTCTCGAAGTGCATCGTGGACCATCTCTTCGCTGATTTCAGGCTTAAGAAGCTTACCCGCAAAGTTCGCAAAGGTGGAGCTGATATGAGAGAGCCACTTCCCAAGGCATACCTGCATGCCTCGAGCCAAGTCGCTCAAGGCCGTATCCACGAAGGGAGCTGTCGATGATAGCTGCTTCCTGGAAGCAGTGTCGTGGAGCTTGACAAAGAAGTCGGCAATGAGCGGCTGGGAGATGATGTCCTCGTTGATCTCGCCCGCTAGAACCTTGGTGATCTTCTGAAAGGCATCTTTCAATCCTGTCACATACGTCTTCACGATCGCCATCTCTTGCTCCAAGCCTTCCGCCGAATGCTTGCCAAGCAGCTTGACGATTGGAACCTTCGCCAGCGGATGGAAGCCACTCATTTGAGAAAGCAGCTCGTATAGCACAGGACCATCATCTCCCAAAACACCTTTCGCCCAAGCTTGCATCTTCGGCAAAAAGGAGTCTCCGAAGGTCTTCTCGTACTTAATGCGGATGACAGAAACCAAAGCCTTGTAGAGCTCGTCGACCTTTCCATTGATGAACTGAACACCCTCTTGCGATCGTGCCTGGAGCTGCTTGCTGGCCTTCTCCTTGAAGTTAAGGAATTTCGTCATCATCTCCATGATCTTCCCAGACCCTGAGATGACAACATCCCAGTCACCGGTTTCCTTCAACTTCAGAAGACCATCACCATCAAAGGTCTTGAGGCCTTGGGCGATTTGGAAGGCTGCTTCGATGTCCAGTGCAAGCAAGGTGTCGGAGCGGCTTTGCTGGATGAGATGCGACACCTCAGAACAAATCTCCACGCCGACAGGGCTCATGGCAACGGCCGCATAGAAGGGCCCCGTTTTGGTTTTGATGAGGCTCGATTTGGCGGTCTCCAGCTGTTCGCAGGTGGCCGAATCAAGCTCACTCGGCTGAAGGACGGTATTCACGAGATTCGACACCTTGTTGATATCCTCCACGATGAGGCACTTGGCTTGCGAAAGCTCGGCCTGCAAAGACGAAGCCTGCCAGACCTTCAGGAAGGCCGCGATCTCTTTAATCTTATCGGCGAGCATCTCTTTCTTCTGCACTTCAACCTTCTCCGGATCGTTGACCGAAGCAGGCACCGATGTCGTCATAAAGATCTGGGTCATGCAAGCTACAAGGCATGTGCACTGAAATTCCCGAACTTCTGCAGGGATCTCTTGGCCTGCAGACTCTGGATTAGAAGGATCGGTTGCGGGCATGATTGAACAAATACCTTGAGGGAACTCCTTCTTGCAGTTGACGTCCAGGAATTTGCACACCGAGTCATAATCACCGGCCTGCATGAGCTCCTCTGCTGCTCGGCGACAAATGACGCCGCTAATGTTCTGGGGCAACTTTACACCGACCTCCTCCAATGCACGGGCTCTCTGCGACAGGGTCGCCGGACTGGCCTCCAATATTGAATATATTAGTATCACTATCATTATCACTACTATCACTATCACTAAGATTATGACTATGAATCATGATCTGGCCAGGATAGGCCAGGCTGAAACTACTTGCCGTGGGCAATAGGCGGCATGCGGCATAATTGCAGAAGCACAGGGCTTGAGGCTTGAGCGGTTTAAGAGTTTGAGCTTAAGTATCTTTCGGGCGGTGTTAGGGTTTAGGCTAGGCTTAGCGGGTTATTATACAGGGCAGGTAAAGGTACAAGGCGATTGTGGGTCGGGCTCGGGTCTAGGTCGGTCTCAGTTTTTGGCGGCTTCGGCTTAGGCTGGGGCTTAGGGTATAAGGTGAAACTAAAGTTTCGGTTTCGCAACCACAGCCAACCAACCAACAGTTCTAGTTATAGAAGAGCTATATAATATTATTTTAATAATACACTTCGGAATCACAGGGATTGCCAGCTGCTACGCCAAGCCCAGGCACATCCCATTTATATTATTCTTATTTATTTTATTTTTAATTTATAAATTATAATTATAAAATATATATATATATATAATATATAAATATAAACTTATAAAATATTATTAATTATAAATTATTATTATTGACTGCTATTAATATGCGAACCTCCAGCTGCCTCGCAGGACCCAAGAGCATCCGACATATAATATATAGACAGTGACAGTGACATAGACATAGACATAGACATACGCACACACACACACACACACATACAGACACACACTTCGGAATCACAGGGATTGCCAGCTGCTACGCCGAGCCCAGGCACATCCCATAATATGCGAACCTCCAGCTGCCTCAGGGCCCAAGAGCATCCGACACATACTCATACACACACACACACACACACACACACACACACACACACACACACACACACACACACACACACACACACACTTACTTTGGAGAGGTAATTGCTGGGATTGCCTCGCTGTCCTGAAGGGCTTCGAGGAAATCAGCTGCCCGCTCCATGTTCCGAAACTCGGTTTTCAGATTATCCCAAACCGTAGCTGCACGTGAAGTCGGGCCGTTGGTCCGGACGGATTCCATGTACAAACCTGTCAGCTCGTCGGAGAGCCTAGACTGGATTTTGTCCTTCATCGTCTCTGCCCTGGCATAAGGAATCCGGGTCACAAGCGGCTCCCCCAAGCTCACAAGCAACTGCTGAGCCTGCAAGACCAAAGCCTCGCTTCGTTCTAGTTCACGACTCTCGTTGCACTTCTTCTTGCTGGATTTCTGCAAATTGATTTGTGAGAAGCCCAATCCCGCCAATCCCGCCAATCCCGCCAAGCCCGGGGCTGATTCACCTGGGTTGGCTCTGGACCCGCCCTCGCCACGACTGCTATCGCCGGCCCCCCCAGCCCCAGACTGTCTTGCTCGCTTGTTCGGTTTTGCTGCTCTGACTGGCTTGTCTTCCTCGTCCTCGGAATCTTTCGCAGGCTGATGCCTTGAGTTGCCACCTCCTGAAAATGCGGATTCAAACATTCTGCTAAGCCCCTAAGCCCTAACTGAATCCTAAACCTAGGCAGTAGACTATAACCCGACAATTTAATCTAAACTAAACCCTTAAGCCTTAAGCCTTAGCCTTAAGCCTAAAGCCCAAAAGCTTCTAATTCAAAGGTCCTCCGATATGGCTGTCGCCCCACATGATGGATGCCATCTCATCGTCGCTCTCGGTCCCGCCCTTCACCTTCGCCTTGCCCAAAACGACGTCGTGTCCCTCTGTCGCTGAGGATGCAACGGAGATGTTGAGAGACTTCTCGAGGCTAGAGAAGGCAGTGGCTGCATCAGGGCCGTCCTCGTTTTCGTCGTCGGCAACAGACACAGTCTGGCGAGCCTTTTTCGAGGAGTTCGTCGAGATCTCGATGCATCCGATTGTCCATTCTTTCAAGATAGCACCTTTGATTTGCTTTCCAAGATGGGGTACTGTTTGCAGGCGCTTGGGAATAGTCTTCCCATGATCTTTCAGAAGTTGCAATGGCCACATATATCCGACCAGCTGTTTGGTCTCTATACCCGACTCGGACACAGCGGCGGCATCTCGCTTGCTCGTGGAGCGGGCTCGCCGCAGACCTGCCTTCCGCTGTCCTGTCCACTCCTCAAGACCAGGCATGTATTGGGCATGATTCTCATCATCATCGAGCATTTCGTACCTCTCTTCGGTTGTCATATTGCAGTACGGCTCTTTCTTCATCATATAGGTGAAGCAGGGCTTGCATTGAGCCGCCCCGGGGACTCGCCGGCTCAGAGAACCGGACAAGAACGATCTCCTGCAAGTTCTGCAAGCATCCGGCCCCGACTTGGTCTTGGGTCCCATATCTGCTAAGGCTCGGACTAAGCAACAATGTTGAGATGCACGGCTGAAAGCAATCATTGGCCTTCAATGCAATGAATGAGTGAATGGCATCAACCATAGTGAATCAAGCAATCGATCACTGCTGCACGCATTGCCGCATTGCCATGGAGACAGCCGTGAGGCCCCTGACTGTAGTAAAACAAATAAGGGTTCGCACACACAGCGAGCGAGAGCGAGAGAGCCAGGAGGAAGCGAGAGAGAGAGAGAGAGAGAGAGAGAGAGAGAGAGAGAGAGAGAGAGAGAGAGAGAGAGAGAGAGAGAGAGAGAGAGAGAGAGAGAGAGAGAGAGAGAGAGAGAGAGAGAGCCTTAGGCCTCACTCCACAACACCTCAATCCCCTTCACAACGACCCTGGTACCCCGAAAGACCCTGTACCTGAACCTGAACGAAAGGGGCCCAGCCCATCCCCCAAAAGCCCAGAGAAGGAGAGAGAGAGTGAAGGCGAAAGAGTTGGAGAGAGAGAGAGAGAGAGGCTGAGCGGGTACGAGATTGCTATTCGGCTATGCTACAGCAATGGCCCTTTCCAGCAACCCCCGGCCCAAGCAGCCAGGACAATAATTATATAAATTAAATTATATTATTATATTATGTTACATTAAGTTATTTGTCTGTTTGCATTCCAGCCATCCTAGGGTTTCGGCTTTAAGCTATAACTAGAACTTAATTAATATTAATATAAGTTATATTAGTTATATTAATTAAGTTATAGTTATAGCTTAAAGCCGAAACCCTAGGATGGCTGGAATGCAAACGGACAAAGGCTATGCTTTGCTGCATACACGAGAACGGCTTTCCGAACTTGAGGTCACATTGATATCAACTAGATGCTATTCACAAAATAAGAACAGCTGCTGCTGCTGCTGCTGCCACGATCGCAAGGAGCAATCAATCGGCTGCTACGCTTCACTGCCCCGGCTCAACAAAATCTAGAAAGCTAGAATTCGGTCTTGATTTTTAAAACTGAATCATGAAACCTAAACATCGTGACCCAGAAAAGCGTGTAAGTTCTGTATGTGCCGGTTGCAGCGAGAGAAAAGGCAGCTAAGGACAATCAGCAGTCACAGCACTGTACGAACAAGCCAAGTAATTGCTTGGGTAGTAGTACTAGTACATAAAATAACGGCTACACAGGTCTAGTCTATATACGACTATATACAGGAGATGCTCAGCGACTGGAGTAAACAATGTCCTCCAGATCCGTGCCCGTCATGCCCGATTCGTCGGCGAGTATCGATTGCAGACGATCTTGCAACCGGTCTGGGTTTCGGGTCTCATCGCCTGCGGTCTCCTGGGGCCCACTGCCAGAGAAAAGGCTCAAATTCTCGGGCAGCCACAAGGACGGCATCTCCGGGCACGCCTTTCGAAGGCGCCAACCTGCTTGTCTCATCTTGCGAGCGAAGAAAACAGGAAATGACAAGGTGATCATGTCACACTGCTGGTTCAAAGCCCTGATCTGGCTCCATTCACTAAAGTATTCAGCTTTGAGTTCCTCGTTCCTCGCAACGACATCTTCGACTGCCAAACCATCAAGCTGCACGATCATGAACGGGTCCCGGCACTTCTTCGATTCCTGCATGGGACGACAAGGGCCAGGGGAGCCTAGGAACTGATGTAGAGTCGGAGGTCGACGAGGGCCGAACTTCCCCAAGAACGAGGGTTTCCTCGCTATCATGACGATGCAAGCGACCAACTGGCATGATCACCTTGTTGTAACCGATAGTTACACAGGCATAACCCGCTAGACTTCACCGTGAGCCTGCAAAATACGGGCCACACACCAGGTTCCGAGGCCTCGGTTTTGCAGCCTATTATGCCGGGTGGTTAACCCTTACGGCCCCCCCAGTTAATGGTTAACTCCGGGCACAGAATTAAGTGGTAACCGGTCGTTTTCCCTTGTATTTGGGGGAGTTAACCATTAATTTGTGGCCCGGAGTTAACCATTAACTGGCCCCCCTTTAGTGGTTAACCAACCCCTAAGATTCGGGTGATTCGGAGGCTGATTTTTCTCGAATCTACTAACCATCACCCGGCCTATGCTCTCCAATATCGTTCTCTTTTTGCCTAAACGACTCGGCTATTGTTGTAAGTCCTGCAATATAAAAGCCAAGTGCGGAAGCATCTTTGATCTAATATGGATTGGGTTAACTTATATAGGCTAATGCTTAACTAAACATTTCCGGTAATAAGTATATATTATATATTGGATCAAAAACGCCCCCGACTGGCAACCAACAAAGACAACGATATTGGAGAGTGCCTACAGCCTACAACCTACAACCCCTTCCACCCAGCAGGATCGAGACCGCACCAAGGCCAGTCTGTGATTCCCGATGTTGCGATGATGCTGACACTCCGGTTCCCAGTGCCTTTAGCTTGCAAAAGGTAACTATCTTGGAGGACTCTAGAACTTCAAAGCCTGATTGTTGGAGGATCATGGGACTTAGTAACTAGGCTTATAGATGAGGCCCATAAGTTTATAAGGTATAAGTTATAAATTATTTATAAACTTTAAACTGAATATGTAGCATCCCATGATCCTTCAAGTAGCCTGTACTCTCCATACAAGGCAAGACGACTCAGAGCGAAGACAACGAGTAACCAAACACAAGGGCGACATTGCAAAGCACAAGTTCAATATGAAGTTCGCATGCACGGGCACTCAACGGTAGGTGAGCCTGTACGATTATGCGACCATTCCAATCAGTATTGCACTGACAATGCAATGTGTTGACATGAGTCGTGTAGTGTAGTTGATTGTCCTCGAGGAACTGTATGCTCCAGAATCTGATGGTCTAGGAGACCATATCATAGCGCCGTCCAAAAAAAGGCAATCTTCAGACCCACACCGCTAGCCTAAACATACTCCCTAAGCCCCTATAATATATTATTATAAGTATAAATTCTGATCTTTACATATGATATCTCTCCAATGCCGCTCCTTGTGGGGACCAAAGGTAAGTGGGATAAGTATCAGCATCATAATGTTCAGTATAGAACCTAGTATAGAATATATAACATTTCAGTACACAGTACACAGTCTACAGTATACAGAGGATTGGCATTGGAGAGTATGTGGGCCCTACTACCCCCCAAAACCTCTACAGTCCTAAGACGAAACCCTAGCCTAAACTAAACTCTACTCTACTCTCTGCAATCGGCGAGACCACGCCAAACCTGGATGCCAGACACTGCACTCGTTCTGAGATGTTTTCTCACGACAACAAATTCAATCTCATTCTTGAATTCGAGCTCGAACCCTCATGCCGATGGATCTTCTCAACTCCTGACTAAGACGGCAATGGCTGTCAGCCGACTCCTGTTGAGCGACACTCAACCACTGCAAAAGTAAGTCTGGATGAGATGTGCTACTGATCCAGCAGTCGCATTGTTTGTGTTTCTTGCACACGGCTCTGAGTGACTCTTGCCCAGTTCCTCTTTTCACGAGCAGCTGGACAGTGCCTAAGTGTTCCTCCATGCCTTCAAACCGTCGGCGGACCGTGCAATAGGTAGTGCCGGAACCACCATAACGAACCTCAATCCGACCGCCATCTTCTTGGACTGACAGCAGCTGCCAGTTCTGCACCGCAGCAGCAGCAGAGTTGACCGAAGGTGCGACTGCCAGATCAGGCCCAGCAATTCGCCCAGCATTCGTCAATGAAGAAGACGGGGCTGGCGAAGTAGACACATCGCCATCTCCTTGAATGTTACCCTCAACAGCCTCAGCACGGCAGTCCTCCAGGATGTCGCTGTCCGAATCTTCAGCTGCACGAGATGACATCCACGTTTGCTCGGGGACTTCTGCTGTTCGACACACCTCAACAGCCTTCTTGAGCTCCTCGATTTGGTCCGGCCCAAGCATGGCATGCAGCTGTGGGTCATCCAAGATATCCTCACACGACAGTCTCGATATCCGAACCTTTGCCTTTAACTTATCATTACTATTATTATTACGAACCCTTTGTTTATATAATTTATATACTATGTAATGAATATTTTACATAATTCATATTCCGATTCTTATAACTGACATTGCATCGTTACGTCGCCGACCCAGGGTCGCCGACCCAGGCCCCTAAATTTTCGGAGAAGTTTCGGGGCTAGGTGGGCTACGTAGTGCTTTCGTTTGAGGTGACTCTAGATGTGTCCATCAGACAATTTATATACAATGGTATACAGGTAGATCTAGTATTAATAATAATAATAATAATAATAATTTATAATATCAAATATTAATATTGTTTTATGATTAATCTTAATCGTCTGATCGACACATCTGGAGTCTAGAAGGAGAAAAGGAAAGCCCAAGAATCCGCATCGTGGGCAGTAGTTTCCTGGACATCGCCTTCGCCAGCCCCAGCAGTCGGAGCAGGGTTTCGTCTTGTCTTCCTCTTCTTCGCAGCTGGGCCAGACGGGAGGGCTGGACCATCATCCAACAAAGATAATAAATCCATCGCATCGGCGGCATCAGACCGGTCTGCATCTGAAGGCTCCATGAGTGGGCCGTCTGAAGGTTGCCCAGCGGGCGGCCCTTCTGACTCATCCTGGTGGGAGGTGCCTATTGCAGTCACCACGATCTGTTCGAAGCTAATGTCCATTCCTGTTACCCGAACCCGCTTTGGAGTCATATCCTCGAAAAGCAACTTGTTGATCACCACCGTGGTTGGAGACATGTTGTGCTCGTCGAAGACGCTGAGCAGATGGGATGCAAACGAATCCGACAAGAACATCATCAAACGACCTACGGGAGTTTCCCCAGCAGGGACCGGCAAGTAATCTTTCTTGCACCGCACGTACTTCTCGAAAGATAAATCGAGCAGCATGCCATCAAACCTGCCTTGCCCAACCCCACACTGCCCGGCACCGGGCACATGAGCAAGAACAAACACCTGATCTGGTTTCAGTGCCCCAGCTCTTGCAGAAACAGCCGTAAGCCAAGCATACTGCCTACACACATGTCTTTGAGGCATAGCAGGAGAGAACACTTCGAAAGCAAGCAGGACATCTGCTTGGGCGGCTGCCATTGGAGAGCCATAGCGCTTGACGATGTCCAGGAAAGTCGACAGCAAGTGGGTGTGCAGCCGGATGCCTCTGAAAAAACGTGGCTGTTCACGGGACCAGGGGCATGGAGTCTATAAGACAAGAGTTCATAGATCACCGATTCATAAATAAGTCATAAAAGTCTTAAGTCTAGATAAATAAGATAAGATAAGGATAAGACGGAAAAGAAAATAGTGGTATGTGAATGAATAATTTGACCAGGATATGATATGATTCTATGATGATATGATATGTCAATATGTCATATGTCGTCATATGTCACTTGCGATTGAAACAATTGTTGTGGTCTTCGGACCCCCCAAAAAAGAATCACAACTTCTCCGAATCAAACAAGGAACGCTGCTCCTCTCCAGAATTGCGACACTGACATCCACAGAAACCCTCGTACACAACCTTGCTGGGAAAGCGATCGTCCTCAGGCGGCCTGGCCATTCTCTCCATCTCCCGATCAAAATGGATTTCGGCCTGCTTGGCCGTGATACCCTTCGCCCGCTGTGCTCGTGCAATGCTATCTAGAGCTTCTTCTGAGATCGGGTAATCATGCTTGCCGAACTTGCTTCCACGAGGCTCGCTCCTCGAATATGGCGAGAGCAACCCTTTCAGATCTGCTGTTTGCAGAAGCCGTTGCACAGGCACCGCATTAAGAAGTTTCGGCACGAAGGGTTCCCCGTGCAGGGCCAATTGTTCGACTGGGGAATTAGCAACGGCAAGTTGGTCTTCGGTTCGCGGTTTTATTCTTTGCATCTTCGCAGCTTGCTTCGATGTGTCAGACATCGCCTCGTAGATCCTCTTCTGGTTTTCCGGTAGCTCCGCCCAAGCACAATGAAACTGATCCCAGGCGGCTTTCGTGATCGGATTGAAGGCCCCCGCGAACTTCTGTTGTTGCAACCAATCCCCACGAAACAATTCCAATGGCGACTTCCCTTTGGGTCTTCGGTTGGTCTTATCCTTCACTATCAAATCCCCTGCTGAATCCCCCAAATCCCCGGCTTTCCCCTTGGAGGAGGTAGGCCACGTATGCTCGCGGGCTTGTCTAGCAATCAAATAAGAATCCCGATTGATGAATTTCGATGCAATCGTCGAGAATCCACTTTCAGCATTCTGCCGATTGGCAGCATGCTTCACCTCCACGTCTGCCACACTTAGTTGGAGAGAGGCTGCATACCAGTACATGATTCTTTTCCAATGCTTGCTTTGCAGATCATCTGCTGTCACTCCTCGGACCTTCAAGGATCGTGCCAAACCTGCCGGGACACAGCACTGTTGCTTTCGTTGCCACGACTGGAGAAAAGCTTTCATCACCTGAGGGCAAGCATGAGGATCACCAACGATGGCCACGAGGAACGAGTCTCCATGTAGATAGTCAAAATGACGGCGGTATTGCCAGGCTGATGCATGGAGCAACACACGACGTATTTCTCGCACCAAATGGGGTTCGCACCTGCAAAAGCGAGCAAAGCTATCATACCCCCAAACCCCCCACAACAATTGCATCCGTCCGGCACCAGTTTCCGAAGACAGCAACAGGCTGTAGTGTTGCAATGTGCTTGTCAACACACTGCTGCTTGGGTCAAGCAAGCAATACAAGGGTGGCCTGTCGCCAGGGCTCAGGCTTTGGCCCAGGCATTTCAACCAATACCAGGTGAGAACACGGTTTGCCTCGATTGAAACAGTCAAAAGGCTCAATGACCATTTCTCGTGCTTGCTCTGCAAGAAATCCATAGATGTTTGAAGTCGGCGACCGTTGACCATATGGAAGGATAGGGTTTCTACTAGTCGCGGATCAACAGTATCAAGATCATCTGGGTATTCTTTGAAGACCATTTCGCCAAATGCCTCTTGAAATATATGCTCCAACCAGTTGTGAACCACAGTCCCAGCCAAACAAAAGTCAAGCGGGGAGAAAAGCTTAGTCCATTTACTGGGTGATGGCACTGATGGAAGTCCTGAGAGAAAGATATCGATCAGCGCCGTAGAGCATTTCCTCACAGCAGTGGCCCTGTCAGCACAATGCCGCTGGGCGAGAGGAAGACAATCGCTGCTGCAGATGTGGCAGGGCTCGCCAGACCCATCCTCCCCATTCCACATATCCAAGAAAGCCGTGGCCTTGCGATCAAAAGCGGATTCCTCGGCATCGTCTTCACCAGACGCCGCCTGATGATCTTCGATTTTCGAATTGTGCCTTTCAAGTTTCTTCCACATTCGAAGGTATGCGATGAGCTCGCAGATTGCGGAATGGGGCCGCACGTGTTGGGAGGGGTCTGATGCCATAACTTCTGAACGAAATCGTAATGTCCGATCAACCCAATCGTGCACTGCTTGCCTCATGCGCATCCAATAGCCCAAATTGCGAACATAAACAGTCATCCCGTATATTCTGTTCAACAATGAAGGGCTAACGACTGCCAAAAGCGAGGTATTATTCAGCTGGACCGCATGATTCATACACCTACAATGTGCAAACAACAGCTCACGACCACCTCGACCGACAACCGTGCTCTTGGCCTTCTGGATGAGGTGGGCCAGCAGCCTCATATTGCTGGCTGCTCCATCTGTCTCCGCCAGATCCAAGTTCTCCTGGGCAGATTGCCTTAAGAGGTCCATAAGCCCGTTGATGCATTTGTACGCCGGGTGATGGAATAAAGCATAGTATTGGTGCTCTGCACCCGTCGCCAGAAGGCTTACAGGTGGTACGATCAGCCGAACGACTATTGTAGATCCATCTTCCCAGGCAAGAACCAAGCGCACACGGTGCACTAAGACCTGCCAGCTGCTTCTCACTCGTTGTTGCGATTTGTCAGCATTCAATGTGCATAACAGCTGTGTCTCATCCCACTTGAAGTGCTTTAAACACAACATTGGCGGTTTTGCAAGGCACCAGGATGCGAGCTTTGCCACGAACAAGGCCTGTTGGTTCATGAACGCAGCACTCGTCATGATCTGCATATGTCGGATTGTAGACCTGCCCACATCTAGATGTTGAGCCAATGCAGAGTTTCGGCATATCCGGCCGTAAGAGGCCTCCAGAAACGAAGACCACGGCAATTTCCGTTTGTAGCGATTGCCCCTTTGACTCGGCCTGATCACATGTAGTGCAAGACCTAGGGCCTTGCTGGAGCGATCAATGCGAAGCTGAAGCACACGAGATTCATGAACAAAGTGACTATCCCGCAACAGTTCCGCGACTGATTCCGAAAAAGTTTCCACTCGTCGGGCAAGCTTGGTGGAGCCTTACCATATCGCACACTGCATGTTGCTTAAGACTTAAGGAATACTTAAGGATATATCCCCATAATTTGGCCCATAATATTACAAGTACAAGGGACTTTATCTCGCAGAAAACCCTAGTACAAATATAGCAAAGGCACGCATGTGGCAAGCTAGCAGTGCACGTTCAGCAAACCCGCCATGTCTGCCCTTGCCCACTCGGCCTTTTAAGGAAGGAAAAACTGCACGACGTCGAAAATCAGGTTGTGTGCGAGCTTTCGGACAAGCTTGCACTAACTCATTGGACGCCTGTTGCAGAGCCGTGTCACCAATCGCAGCAGCTGTCTCAGTCTCATTATCAGCATCCAGAAGAGAGAGGAGATCCATCATGCACCATGCATCGATTGAGAGTTTTCACTGAATTCTGAGAATGGATGATATATGATATATATTATGTTAATATATTTAGAGACGAACTCACTTGAAATCGATGGACTCAATTGAGATACACCAACGGATTGAAGTCCTTTCCCCTGTCTCGAGCAGCATCAAAGATATCCTGGCATGCCTGTCTGGAGAGCTTCGATTGGATAGGAATTCGTCGGTACTGGTTGCTTACACCGAAACTTATGGATTAGGTTGACACGGGTCAAAGGCTAAGTAGGCCGGAAGTTAAGGCTAACCGGGGACGAATTAAGGGTTAACTAGGCCGGGAACTAAGAGTTAACCGGGGACGAATTAACGGTTAACTAAGCCGGAAGTTAAAGGTTAACCGGGGACGAATTAATGGTTAACTAAGCCGGAAGTTAAGGGTTAACCGGGGACGAGTTAATGGTTAACTAGGCCGGAAGTTAAGGGTTAACCGGGGACGAGTTAATGGTTAACTAGGCCGGAAGTTAAAGGTTAACTAAGAGCGGATTAACCTGACAGGACTCTCCTAAAGACACCCCCTCCGAACGTGTTAGAGGAGACTACCAACATATACATCTACCCAACTCCTACACAAGCCCTCCGACGTGACCGTGGATCCTGGATCCGGGATCTTCGACGACAGTACGGGAGTTTCAGCAATATAGATATCGGACATATCGGACAGCAAGGACCATAGGAGATTCAGAAAACTAATGTGCCCCAACTGAAGTCCCTATGACAAAGATCCGAGCAGTTACTGCTCGGATCTTTGTCATAGGGACTTCAATTGGGGCACATTAGTTTTCTGAATCTCCTATGGTCCTTGCTTAATAATTTGTACGGGTTTGTATGAAGGAATCAAAGAAACGTGAGTTTAGCGTGATTTGATCAGCCTATGCCTTGACCCTCATCTGAGCCTCCAAGCCCAAGCCGCCAACACGCACACTTCGACTTCGAAGAACGGTTTGAGCACGACAGTCTTTACACCCCACCTTCCCCCTATCAAGCTCGATTGAGGCTTCCTTTCTGACAGGTTGACGCCTTGATGTCGCGGCTACGCTTCAGAGAGCCGTTGTCCCAGTCGCAAAATCTTGAGCGAGATTGCACGTAGTCACGTGCGTGCATGCATGTTTGTACATATATACAGACGTATGTATGTAATAATGTATGTGTCTGTGTGCGCGCGCTTTTGTGTGTGTATGCGCTCCACAAACTGGGAAGGCAGAAGCCCAGAAACTGCGAGTCATGTCGGAGGAGAGAGCAATGCCTCGCATTGACGTGCACCAAGGTCCCGCGCTGTTTACACCGTGGATCTGACAAAGATTGATGCTCGACAGGGATTCATGAGGCTTAAGGAATGCTGAGGAGGTCGATTACTGCTGAGTGTCCCTGCAAACCTGACCCTGAGCCAGGGTCGAGGGTCCGTACCTTCCCTGAAGAATCCTGCCTCCGAGGATGATACCACGGAGAACGCCGAGGTTGGGGTCGTGGTGACTTGAAAACAAGAAGGGAGCATAGGTGAGCAGTGCAAGACACACACGCTGGCGCAGCTGAGTTGCATGCTTATTTCAATGATGGAGAGTCGCAGGCAATGTTGCACACAAGACTTTTGAAGTGGCTTTCGTGCGGTCTGTGGCAGAGTTTGGCATCTCGCGCAGTTGACAACCTGACAGCCGAAACGCTGAATCCCTGAAGCCCCACCAACAATGTACAAACACACAGCCATTTTACATGACACCTGGTCGTCACAGGGTCTTCGTATCTCGGGCGCCAAGCTGCCTGAGACTTTGCAGTTCAAGGAAGGATGCGTGCCAAAGCTATTGCAAATCCGGAACAGGGTTTTTGGAGTTTTCAGAATTTTCAGTCAGGCTTTAGCCAAAGGTGCTTCCGTGGCTTTTAAATTTTATGCAAGCATGTTGCCCATACTTGCTTATGCAACTAGGGGCTCAGCCAGAGCAGACGAGGCAGCCAACTCTTACCTTATCTTATCCCTGAAAAAAGCTTCCCCAATTCTGTCTCCAGATTGCGGCGTCCTGCCCAAGTAACTTAGCAAGCGTTTCCCCGCAGCACAGATCCGACATCCGAGTGTCTCTTTGATCCAAGCAGGCCTAGTGGCCGTAAGCCTCAAGGCTTTCCCCCATGCAGAACACGGAATGCTTCAGAAGAACATGGCGGTGTTGTGACGACTGCAGGAAGTCATCTGCAGCGATGACAAGGCTGAGACAATCTGTTTGCTCGAGTTGTATGATCCATGTTCTGTTGATTTTTGGCTCAGCCGTATAAGAAGCCAGCTTTAAAACAAGTGAAGCGGTGACTTGGGAAGTGCCGAGTTGTCGCGGCAGCATTGTACACGGTGGTGCTGTATGTCATGACCATTATCCGGTCGCTGCCAGACTGCAAGGGAAGTGGACGCAACCGAAAAGCAACGGAAATGCTTACATAAACTGTTCTTCTCGAGATGTCCGCTCCAGGAGAAGGAGCCTCTGCTGGCCATGTGGCTGCTGAGGCGCCGCTTGAGGGTGACGATCTTCAGGACTTTTGATCTTCCGATGAGACGCAAATCTTAGGTAAGTCTTAGGCTTCCAGGGGCCTAGAGCAGCTTGGTACGTCGGCCCACGAAAAAGCCCATAGCCTGATCGTTCGGTAACTCGGACCGTAAGGCTCTTGGAGTTCGCGGCTGGGATCGCCCTTCCTCCTATCGACCCCAAAGCCTAAGCATCCCTAAACCCTAAACCCCTAAACCCTAAACCCTACACCCTGAACCCTAAACCCTAAACCGAAACCCTATCCTACGACCTGCTGTTGCATCCAGCTCGTGGCTCCGGCGAGTTTTCGCTGCTGAGGTTAGGAGCAAAACTAAACACAAGGACAACCGAGGTGTTCCTAGCAACCGTCCTACTGTGCTACGGCAAAACAGGCAACCGAAGTTGTTGAAATTATGTCGTCGATGACGGCCCGAGATGGTTGCAGCTCAACCTCAAATTCAAGCCCGAACAGCCGCAAGTACACTGAGCAGCTCACAAACCGAACCTGCAGCCGTACCTGGAAGGGCACTCAAACCTAACATTTCCTGCATCAGCAGATGTTATTACCCGTATAAACTCTAAGCGCTAAAGCCCTAAAGACACCGAACCATCAAAAACGGAACTCTTCCCAACACTCGCTGTCCGCGACCGTCCGTGCGCGCGGGCACGATGCAGATGCTTCGAGGCCGGACCTGCCGAGTTTTCTTAGGGGTACTTAGAAATATTTTTAAACTTTTGGTTATTATACTCCCTAAACAGCAGTTCAATATAGTTTTGATGGAAGGGTCCAGGGCCTGGCCTTTCATTTCGGGTTATAGATTGGAGCTTAGAGTCCAGGTTTAAGGTCGTTCGGGCTATAGTCTAGGGTTTAGGCACTACGGATTAAGGATGAGAGTTTTGTTGAGGGCTTATCAGTTTACTCATACGGGTTTGGGTCGAGGCTTGGGGTTCAGGTGAATTTGGTCTTGGTTGTTCAAACGTTTCAGGGTTCGGGTATCAAGCAGCCAGCTAACAAAATCAACCCTAAACCCTTCGAGCCTTACTCAACCCCAGGGTCCGCAAGGGTCCCTTTACCCTCCCTCCCAAACTTCCCTAGGTTTGAAGCCGAATTGGAACTGGCAGCTCTTTCGAATTGTGAGGGTGTGTAGTTTCGGGTTCGACAGAGTTTCCTCGAATATATTAATTAAGAAGAGCCCGGTTTGTTTGGCCCCTCCAGGGCCTCCAGGGCAGCATGTTACTTCGAAGCTCAAGCTGTCGTTCTTGTCCTTGAGTGTAGGGTTGAGTGCTACAGGGGAGTCAGGAGTCCCAGCAGCGGCCCTGAACACGTGAGTGTCTCGGTTGGACTTACGGGGTACTGTAGGCATGAGGATAGCGAAAGCATAGAAAGGGAAACATGACGCCTGCTCCCTATTCCTTACAGGAGTCGTGCGGCGAGCTCTGCCGCTACCACTTTCAAGTGCACGGTCCATGGCAGGCCCAGTGCTCCTTCGCTGAGGTTCCGATTCAGAAATATTGGGTAGAGGCTGTAAGGCTTACAGTAGTGATGTTGGGGTTGCGGAGTTTGGGGAGAGAGAGAGAAGGAGCGAGGGGTTGGTCAAAGAGCAGCTATTTTGGCCGGAGTTGTTGGGTGATGCTTGAAGCCGAGATTTGGTCCCCAGCATTCCAGAGTTCAGCGGTGCTGTAGCCCGGGAAGACTGAACGAAGGATTGCTACATCCTGTCAGTTTCGAAGCCACTCGAACCAGGCTCAGAAGCTTGCCTTGGACCTATCAAGTAAGATTCAGGTGCCTGGGTGGAGCAGATT